CTGGCCCTTATTATCTATGTGGGGAAGATGTACGTGAAAGGTAGGCCTAGCAGGAGTGGACAGGCAGCAAAGCCTGCTGCATATGACAATGCCCTTTGCCTCCGTACTCCCTGATAGAGGAGAGGATATGAGGCTCATCAGCTTTACTTACTGCAATCCCCAAGAAAGCAAGCCTGATTGATTCTATAGACTTTTCAATCCTGGTTACACATTAAAGTTGCCTAGGAGGTCTACGTAAAATTATAGGTACTTGGACTTCACCCCAGATCAGCCAGCCAATGTCTGGAACAATTTTCTGGTTGTTGTCAGGTTTGCTGTTGTTGTTTTAGGGACAGGAAGGGACAGAGGGACAGAGAGAAAATCTTATGTAGGTTCTACTCCCAGCGCAGAGCCAATGTTGGGCTCTATCTCACCACCCTGATATCGTGACCTAAGCTGAAATCAAGAGTTGGACACTTAACTGCCCTGGTGCCCTGAGGGAGTTTTTGTTTGTTTGTTTTGTTTTTTTTTTGTTTTTTTTTTTTTGGAGGGGAGGGGTTGTTTTTAAAGCTCTCCAGGTAATTCTACTCTGTAGGTAAGATTAAATTACAAAATCTTGATCTTAAACTAATTCAGCCCAAAGAATTCCAAGTTGACCAGATACATCTTTGCCACCTCAACTCGGGCAGAGCCCTGCTCTAACAGCAAGTTCAGCTCAGCATCCCTTCCCAGCAGAGCCCAGAAGTCCAGGTTCACTACTATGTCCCCACAGAGCACTGAACAAATGCTCCAAATACTTGGTTTAACAGTTTTCCTAGGGACCAGGAACTAGACTGGTGGTTGCTTTAAACCAGAATAGTCAGGCTTAGGGAAGAATGTTGTAATCCCACAACTGGGTGCCTCCTTCCAAGACCTGGCCCTGCCAGGCAGGAAAGGGCTGGTGGATATTCACGCAGGGAGGTAGTTGTGATCATTACAAGGAAACAAAGTGCTTTTCATGCTTTGTGTTTTCTATTTCTTGTGAATCTGAATCCCTTCCTTACAAACTGCTATCTTGTTTCTACGAGGTGGGGCAGAGACCAGCTAAAAAGTATTTTAAGTAAAAGGCCAGTCTAGCTGATAAGTTCCATTCAGTGTTATCAGTAGCTGTTAAGTTACATTTCTGAGAGCTGAGGGAAAGAAAATGCTTTGTTATGTGATTCAGGAATATATCTTTTTAAAATAGATTTAATGCCTCCCTTCCCCATATCAACTTTCCCCTGCCTGCTATCAAAATGCCCCACAGACTCATGTAAGGTTCATATAAGGAATGAAGAAATCAATATGAGTGGCATAGCATTAACACATTCCCAATATCCTAAAGCTACATTCCTGCAGAAGTATTGGTTAAAATGGGCAAAGTTATTTAGATACTAGCCAGTTCCAGGATGATCTAGGATCCACCTGAACATTTTTAACACAGGAGTCAGCAAATGTTGTTTGCAGAGATCCAGAGAGTAAATATCTTAGGACTGTGGACCATATAACCTCTATCACAAAGACTCAGCCTTGCTGTGCAGAGCAAAAGCAGCCACAGACAAAATGTAAGTACGGTTGTATGGATATGACTGTAATCCAAAACATTTTACTTGCCAAAAGAGACAGGTTAGATTAGTTTGCTGACCCCTGTTCTACGAGACAATAGCTTCCATATACTGATCTCAGTTATATTAAATGGATGACAAAGAAGAAAGAATAACATGGAAAAAGACTGATATGGATTTAATGACAAATATTCCATGGTTGCTGAACATTAGAACGCTGTCCAAGGAACCATCATTAAATAAAACAATCTGAAAATAAGGCAATTCTCACATATACAAGTACACACACAAAACCTGTTACTTTTAAAACCATTAAATTATTCACTATTTTAACAAACAGCTGTAAAATAATATTACAGTGAAGGAAAATGTGCACAAACTTCAGAAACACAGTTCGGATTGTCTATGAACACAGGTTCTTAGTCCGTACTTTTTCACACATGTACAGCCTCTTGATCCTGAAGAGACCACATGGCTCAAGGGGTTAACTTCTCATCTTCTCTTTCCAACTCAGAGCTCAAGATTTAATCAAGCCATTTAACCTACCGAAACTGCTCCAGGTTTTGCTAAGGAAAGAGCAGCCTGCACCTGACCAAATTCCAGGAAACAAATGATACACTTGCCTCCACCATCATTAATGAGCTGATGGATGGAATCTTCAAATGAACATTTTGAAGGGTGAACCACGGTTAATAGAGTTTGCTGGAAAAAAAAAAAACCCTATTACTTTCAAACTAGATATAAGAAATGACCTCCTGACTGCATTTAAATTCACTTAATGCAGCTATGTTCCCTGAAGAATTGTAAGAAAAATGGAATCACATTTTAAATGCACCATGAGAGTGGGGCTGTTGGTGATTGGACTGTTTTCTTCTGCTAAGGGATTTGCTCATAAAAGGGATACTGAGGTGGTGGCTGACTCTCTTATCTCTCGTACTTGAAAGAAGAGAGGTCAATGAAATCCAAAGATTTCCACTGCCACCAAATTATTCTATATAAGCTTCAATCCCCTTTCCCTGCTGAACTGTCTCTTGAAAGCTGCCCATATGTAACATAGCTGATGCAGATGAGACTGTACAACAGAGTACAATGACAGCAAAAGGCCACATAACCCATAAAGTGGATAATTAATCCATGAACAATCAAAAGTTGGATGAGATTTCATAGGCACAGACTGGAGAGAACTTAAAACGGCTGGAAGAGGTAGATGTGCATAACAAAAAAAAAACAAACAAACACAAAGGAATAGGATTACCTACAAACTGGTTATATTATTTTCAAAAGAGTCCTAAATACTTAGTATTCAGAGGAAAGAGAATAAATAATGGATGTTTACTTTGTTCATATTACTCAACTAAAAGAAAATAATTAGTATCTTGCAAAATTATCTATCTTTTGAAAATCTATTTGCATTTGCAAATAATAATAAACTGATTAAGAGGGCAAGATCAACAGGCTATATTATACAAGCCCAGAATTCTCGGGATTTTTTTTTTGAAGGTGTTTTTATAAGGACAAAAACATGCTTTCCTACAGTCCCCAAAGAGGTTCTTTGCTAAAATACAACTGATCAAGTATAAATTACCAGCATCCACAGAAAAAGTTCGCTAGAACTATAAAAACAATCTTGCAGTTTTTCTTCTTTTCCTTCGAGTGTGTCCAACAGTTTGTGAAGATGCTTCCATGAAAAGTACAGAGCAACTAACAATCACTAGTGAAGGAAACAAGACTGCTTTCCACAACTCTAACTTCTAAAGGCTAACCTAGGGGAGGGATTTTCAGCATAGGTGACTGAAACCTGTACAAGAGTCGTCTAACTACAGCCCTCTACTAGACAGAACAAACCTAAGACACCCTAAATACATGACAAAGACCAGCTTTGTCAACAAGGACATCTTTGGCCTTTCTAGACTAGCCTTAAGTTTTCCATGAAGCATTAGAATCTTCAGTGTCTTTATTATATAAATCATGACAGGTAAGTCTTTCTAGCAGCTGAGCTGGAGAGCACAAAAGGTCAGACCGTACCTACCCACACGGTCATCTGCCTCTCTTCAAGAACAGCCTACTGTACTCCTGTCGCCAAGTCTTCCCTATGATAGGGGTCATAATACTGATCTAACTTCACAAAGATGTGAGAAACAACTAACAATCATTAAAAATCATAAAGCACTTTACAAATATAAAAGTGCTATTTTGGCATTTATAGAACGACCAGAAAACATTCATTGCTTGTGCTATTTGGCAATTTTGCACTTACACCTCTCCCTGCTCGTGCCTTCCTTGTGCAAAGCCTTGAGCTTTCTACTGTGCCTCCCCGTGTAAGTAAAAGACATTTATTTCTACTCAGACCAAAAGTCCATTACAACGTGGATGACAGTGGCTGTTTGTCGATCTCCAGATCTCCCCCGTTACTACCAAGGGGGAGGGGTGCACTGGATACAGAGTGAAGGCAGATGAGACAAAGAAGCCTTGTACCCCAACATGTGAACATTTGCTCTCCTGGATTTCTCACATAAGGCTGGCAAAACTCTGAGCTAGTTGACTTTTGTAGCAGGTCACTGGGGCAACTGTTGCTGATCTGAGATTCACTGGAAACAAGCATCGTGCTGTTCTGGGAAAGCGAAAAGTCACACATAGCTAGGATTGTTTCATTTCCCTGCACTTAGAAGATCACAAGGGAGACCTGAAATACTGGGCTTCGCACACCCCTAACCCCTGACATCCACATAGACCACCTTCACCCAGCATGAAGCTAGACTACTTTAAAGGAAGTAGCAAAGAACCAGGGGGCAGGACCAAGATTTCCCAGGTGACCTTAAAAACTAGTTATGAATGAGTGTCTAAACTTCAGTTTTGCCCTTGAGATCAGTGTGTAAGCTTTCATGCCCAGTTTCCCCTGGATGCCTCAAAATAGCAGCGAACTGTGGCTCAGAGAAAGGAAGGGAAGAATATACAAAATATCCTCTCCAATAGGATCGACAAGGTTCCTCTACTTTTCATGAGACTGCAGCCGATGTGGGGGGACAGGGCGAACAGTGGCTTAACAGTTGGTGAGACCAGGACTGAACTATTCATACCTGCCTTTTATTTTACCCCATAACCACGTCCTCCCCTTCCCTGATTCCCACAGGCCCTCAGAGCCCCACTACTCTATCGCCTGCCATCCTGTTCACTCCCCTATCCCCCCAACTCCCCTTCTTCAAGGTCCTCAAAATGCCTGCACTCCCACCCGCTCTTCACGCCCTGCTGTGTGCGTTATCTGAAGAAGTCACCGCTCAGGCACTGTGTCCCAAGCATGCATGTCCTCGTTGGGGAAGGAGGCAGGCAAATGATCACATCCCTAAAGAGCAATACTTACTCCACCCTCCCCTTCGAGACCCCCTAACACCAAGAGACTCCCCGGTTACTCAGATTGTCCCTCCCGCCCCACACCCATTTCCTTCTACACAGTCTAGTCCCAGGACGTCTACTCCCCCACATGCTCCCCGAGGGCAGCCCCCCAGCGGCCCAGCCCTAGCACAGATGCAGCTTCTGGTGCTGCGCCAGGTGCGTTTTGTAGCGGAAGCCCTTGCCGCAGCCCGTGCACTTGTGCGGCTTGTTGCCGGTGTGGATGCGGCGGTGGCGGATCAGGTGCGAGCTCTGGATGAAGCTCTTGCCGCACTCGATGCACGTGTAGGGCTTCTCGCCCGTGTGCGTGCGCTGGTGCTGCGTGAGCGTCGAGAAGTCGCTGAAGCGCTTCTCGCACTGGCCGCAGTGGAAGGGCTTCTCGCCGGTGTGCACGCGCAGGTGGTTCACCAGGTGCGAGTTGCGCCCGAAGCCCTTGCCGCACTCGCGGCACACGTAGGGCCGCTCGCCCGAGTGCGTGCGCTTGTGCGTGAAGAGGTGCGAGCTGACGCTGAAGGTCTCGCCGCACTCGGAGCACATGTAGGGCTTCTCGCCCGTGTGCACACGCTGGTGCTTCACCAGGTCCGAGCGCCAGCTGAAGCGCTTGCCGCACTCGCCGCAGCCGTGCGGCTTCTCGCCCGTGTGGATGCGCTGGTGGTTGGCCAGGTGCGAGCGGCGCACGAAGCCCTTGCCGCACTCGCCGCAGGCGAAGGGCCGCAGCGCCGCCGCCCCCGCGCCGCTGGCCGCCGCGTGCGCGCGCCGGTGGCTCAGCAGGTGCGAGCTGAGGCTGAAGGCCTCGCCACACTCGGGGCACGGGTAGGGCTTCTCGCCCGTGTGCAGGCGCCGGTGCTTGAGCAGGTCGGCGCGCCAGCTGAAGCTCTTGCCGCAGTCGGCGCACAGGTTGGGCCGCTCGCCCGTGTGCAGGCGCAGGTGGTTGGTCAGGTAGGTGTTGCGGCTGAAGCCCTTGCCACACTCGCCGCAGCGGAAGGGCTTCTCGCGCGCGGGCTGGGCCAGCGCGGGCCCCGCGCCCAGGCCCCCCGCCACGCCCACGCCCACGCCCACCAGCCCCACCACCCCGCCGCACTCGCCCGCCAAGCCGAAGGGCTCCAGGCTGGCGGCGGCGGCGGCCTCGGCCAGGCGGTGGATGCGCTGGTGCTGCAGGAAAGCAGCGCCCGGGCTGAAGCTCTCCCCGCAGTCGGGGCAGATGGTGGGCGCGTCCATGATGCTGGCCATCAGGCTGTCGAGCTCCCCGAGGTCCACGGCCACGGGATGGTGGAGGCGGCGGAAGCGGCGCTGGGCGGGCTTGTCGCTCCGGTGCCGACTCCCCAGGGAGAGGTGCCGCCTCCAGGGAAGCATGGGAGGGGGCGGCTGCTGCGCCTCCTCGTCGAGCCGATTCTCGCCAGCGCTCTCCTCTTCTTCCCGGGGGCTCCGGGAAAGGCTTTCCGACTCCGACAGTCCCAGTCCCGGGAACATCGCCACCTCAGCTACGCCGGACGGGTAATCCTCCTCGCGGAGAACAGCCCCTTCTTCCTCGCTCAGCAGCCCATCTGCAACAGCAAAGGCGGCAGTGGGGGTGACTCTACGTGGTGTTCAAAGGGGAAAACCCAGAGGAAGCCAGTCTCAGTTAAGAGTATGGAGCACGGAGTAGTCCCCCCCCCACACACCTCCTACTCCCAACCTCTCTCTCTCCGAGGCCCCCACGATTCTAGCCTCTTTTCCACCGGGTGCCTCCTGGGGAAGGCCTACAGGACACTGTGCTCTGAAACCTGCGCGAAGCCCACTCACCTGCCCCCTTGGCCGGCCAGTTCTTCTAGCAACTATCTCGAGGTCCAAGCCCCACCCACTGTACCGAGGCTCTGCTCCACAGAGCCACCCGCAGGCCTGACAGCTTAAAATGGGCCAGGTGGGACTTTGTGGGATCTTGGAAGAGATTAGCTCACTCTAACAGCTACCAATGCCTTTCAAGGCCCTGGCCGCAAAGACAAGACCACCTGTCCTAACCAGGTAACAGGCTGATTTTTAGAATATAATTTGTTGGGGTAGGACAACAAACCAAACACATCCCAACTTAGGGGCTTCACTCTGCAAGTCGGGCAGGGGGACTGAGCACAGGACCTAGAGCTGGTGATCACAACTCAGAGACCATCCCAGAACACACACCTGTCTCTCTCTGGCTGCTTGATTCCAAGCAGAGGGCACTCCAGAACGTTAAGAAAACGTGAAAGACCAGGCGCTTGTGTGCACTGCAGGGGAGAGCAGCAGGAAGTCTGGGACATGTCATGGGGGGAAGAAATGTACCTCATAGTCTTGGCCATAAGGTATTTCAGCTCTTTTCTGTCCCCAAGTCATGCACAGAGCAGTATAAAGCAATGAATGCCGGGAGATGGAACCAAGGAAGTAGGTGGAGGACCAGCACTTCCTCTTTCCAGGTCAGGAATAGCAAGGGGTTTAGCAGAAGATTTGAGCACTTTGGGCATTATTCGCATGAACCAGGGCAGGTCACTTACCACTGAGCTTACTTATCCGCAGAGATGATGACTGTAACTGTAAACACCTGGAGACTTTGTTTGCTCAGTACTATGCTAAGTCTTCACCTGCAGCAACTCATCTGAACTCCCCCAACAACCTGATGAGGTAGGTTCTGATACACGAGCCGTGTCTCCTCTTGTGTTGTTGTGAGACTGTTAATGTATAGCAGTGTTCTATATGCTGTAAAGTGCTGCGCTAGTGAGTTACCCTCTGCACCCATGCTTACCAGAAGAGCCCACTTCAGACTGGACTGAAGAAAAGGATGTTTCTCAGGCTTAAGGTGATACAGAATCCGCTTAATGGTCTCCACTAGAAGGCTCTCCCACAAAGAATGCTGAGGCTGGTTCTAACTCTAGAGGAGCTAGAAATAATTGAGTGGGGCAACTTCCAATGAAAATGACAGCTTTTCCTCACCTGGGCAGATGTCAGACACCAGTTCCCTCTCCTCTGGGTCCCTTCCTAGAGCTTCATCCTGTGGGTTGGAGCCCAGCTCCTGCTCTGGGTGGTCTTCTCTCTTGTCTGCATCCTGTGGATTAGAGCCCATTCCTCTTTCTTCTGGGTTCCGTTCCCTGTCTTCAGAGTTCTCAAAATCAGAGCCCATCCCTTTGTCTTCTGAGTCCTGGGCTTCATACACACCCTGTTTATTTTCTTGTTCCATCCAGGAAGAACTGGACAAGGGAGATGACCGGGACCCCTGTTCCAGACAAAACACAGATAAAGGTCAGGTCAGTTTGGCCTCATGTCCTCACCATATCTGGCCTCGATTTCCATGAAAATCAGTGGCACAGTCCTAGAAAATGTGTAGAGTTCCAAGCCTCAGATGACAAATCGCTGCTACACCCCACATTTTAAGATGCACAGAACCAAGCACAAAAGAGGCTGGTCTGGGTGGTGTGGGAACAGTGGCAACTCATTCTGAGACCACATGCCAAGTCTCCCAGGATTGGATACAGTTTAATCTGCTTCCATCTCTGAAGTGGATTCTTCTATTACCATGACTTTTTAGCCTTAGTGTGGCTGTTCCCATTTTTCAGCTGAGAAAACCGCAAAGTTCAAAAAGAAGACCCCTATAGCCTTAGACTAACTTGTAAGCGGTAAGGTGGGGATTAAACCAATGAGCACCTGCTGCCTTCCTGCAAGCAGTGAGTGAAAAGAATTCAAGCTTTAGCAGGTCTGCTGGGGGTGGAAGAGGATGCAGGGATCCTCTATGATAGAAGTCATCACTTTAGCCTTACTACATATTTGGCCTTACTATATCCTTTAATTGTAGGGAACCCTGAAGAGGAACGTGACCCCCACATAACTGGTAACCCCTCTGCAGAAGAGGCCAACATGTGAATTGTAGGAAGAAAATGACCTCAGATTCCTAAACCTTTTGTAGAGGTCATATTTACATGTAAAGGCCCCTTGCCAAGACTGAGCAGTTGAGCCAAAAATAATCGACTTCTGCCATCCATCATTCTTACAGCTTAGCTCAAGGCAGCAAAGCAGATTATTGGTTAAGGATCTTGAACTAAGACTTTGAAATGTCCAGTACTCTCTGCCTCAGCAGCCCCCAAACAGGACTTACACCAATACAGCTGAGCAAGATGTTCTCTCCTTGTCTGGGAGCTTTCCCTGCCTCTGTTGAGAGGACTTTCCCCAGGGCAGCCCTGGCTCTGCAGACTCCTGCCAGCCTTACTCCAGGGCTTAAGGCAAGTCAGTTCGCCTCTCACTGTCTCAGTGTCCTCCTCAGTGCCAGGAGGACAATGATACTTATTAACCCTTCTCCCAGGAAGGATGTCAGAGGAAACATTAAAATGGGCTTTGGAAAACACTGTAAAGAGGAATTGATCCTGAGTTTTACAAACATGGAATGCATGTGTCATTTCTCTTTCCCATATGGAATACACATTATTTCTCTTTTTAAGTCCCGATGACATTCCAGCACATCTCAGACATACCAGCACCACCATAATTTCGGCAGACACATTACCCTAAATAGCATATTGTACCCTTTCTCAGAGATGAAAATCTATTCCCCAGATTAGAATGAAAAATGAAGCTTATCCCTTAAACATTATAAGAAAATGCCTGTGTCTGTGGCTATTGGGTCAACAGAGTCCTGGAACTCAGTTTCCTTAGAATATACATAGATTAAAATGACAGGTTTCAAAGACTCGGGATGAGAAAAATCTCATTAAAGCTATAAACTTTTTAAGAGGAGTATTACACAAGAGACTATTGACCCTAAATCACTTCTACCCATAAATCTCAGCCTTCTGGTACTCAGAAGCCATAGAAAGTACATCCCTTGAGTCTGCATCTATAACACACCCCAGAAGGCCAGGTGTGGAGAAGCAAGAGTAGGATTTTCAAACATGTGACCTACTGGTTTGCTAATGGCTGAAAGCAAAGAAGAGGTGGAAGCCTATGGGGGACCTAATCTAAGGCCAGCATGTAGAATTCTACATCAATAAAATAATCAAATAAGTGTGTCACCAGAAATTCATAAAACTAAAATGGCCAGTTGTGGTCCTGGAATGGCACAGAAATGACTATAGCTCTCCACACAGAAGGGTGGGCATTAGGGGTCCACCCTGGAAAGCAGAGAAGCTTAGGGTTTCACCTCTAATCCCTTTTAAAAAGGACACAGCACTTTCTTAGTACCTGAGGCATAGCAACAGTACTTTCTGACTTGTGATTTCTCAGGGGCCAAGAGAGAATTCATACCAGAGATATTAAACCAAGAAACATAGCTTTTATAGATTTAAGGGGAGAAAGGAAAAGAGGCCAAGGCCAAGTTCCCCAGTTGAGGCTGGAGTATGAAAGTTCACAGCTCAGAAGGTTCTGAGCTCCCAAAGGGAACATGCGCAGAACCTCATTCACCTGAGAGGAGGGAGGATTAGGTATGCTCTAAAAAGAGTGGGAAGCTCCTGTCACCCAGAGGGACACCACTCGTGGGCACAACATCTACTCAGATTTATTTAAAAGTGCACCATGTTAGAGCAAACCTGGAAATCTACATGCCCCACAATATAGATTCAGTTCCATTCACGCCATCACAGCATGAGGTAGCAGGCAGCTATCAGGGAACAGGGAAGGCTATTTAGAAGTAAGGAAAGGCAGTCATGATATATTGTTAGATAAAAACTAGCTGTTTTTTTTTATCTCATTTTATTTATTACTATATGCATACTTTGTAGATATATACATGCGCACACACATATATATTTACACATGTATATACCGGTTCAGAGAGAAAAATCAGAACATTATTGAAGTGTTAAATATCTCTTGGTCACTTCTAATGGTTTTGCATCATTTAACCTAAACAACTCAATGATGAAGGGTATTATTTTCCACTTCAGAGTTGTAACTAGCTCAAGGTCCTACAAATCATTAGTAACACAGTGGGGATTCAAACCCCTACACTACAGCTCCACTGTCCACATTCTTAGCCCAAAGCTAGTATGCTGCTTGGAATCACTTTTCCTTTTGGTGAACATCTATATTTTCTATAATAAAGATATATTTTTATCAGGAAAAAAAAAAGCCAACTTTGTTTTTAATGTGATAGGATACATTGAAGAAAAAAACTACAATTATTTTAGAAACAACAAAAAGACAAGGGCAGATGTTGTGCTTATCTCAATCTATGGAAGACTTAATTTTCAAAAACGTTATCTAAACAGTGTGGTATAACTGAAGTGTCAGTCAGTAGATCTGTAAGCACATTTGTGCCAACTTCTTGCCCATTCATTCTCAGAATAAAAACTAGCAACATGTTTTTTTCGGTAAGGCTAGGGCTGGATAATGACTGGGTGGCAGGGCACTGTGATAGATTTGCGGCTACACTGACCTAGGTTCAAATCCTCTGCTCTGTCAGCTACTTTACTGTGTGCAAGGTACTAAACCTGGCTCATCTTCAGATTCTGCATCAATAGAAACAAGTATGCTACTGCCTATAAGATTTGTTCCTTATATCCTATAAGATTTGTAAAAGTAGCAGGCATACAGTAGAGACACAATAAGCAGTAGTTATAATATTATGAAACTTAAGCCAACTTCTTGACTTAAAAAACTATGTACATGCACACATACCCTCCTAAATTGAAGGTCACACTATATTCACCAAGAATGGCTTGTGGCAAGAACGAGCAGAGCTTCCTGTGGCCTGGCTATTAAGGTTCTACAACCAACAGTCCTGCCCTGTGGACACAAGAACCAGGGAAGGGACTTAGGGTAAGGGAAGAAGATGCAGTTCCATATTGGTTCAGAGATGTTGATAATACATCCTGTATTCAAAAAGCATAAGCAAGCTGAATGAGGTGTATGTACAAGAAACCCTGGCTGTACTGTAAGGGACAGCCCCCTGCACATCGCCACAGAAGAAAGAGAAGTATAAGGCAGGAAGTAAACCAAACAGGTAATGGTGGGAGCAGTCAGGTGGACCAGATTAATTCTGGGTCTAGTTCTAATCACTGAACTAGCAGAGATGGGGAAGAGCCCATGTTTTTGGCCAGCAGAGCCCTGTGCTGTGTAACTTTTGAGTACTTGCCTCCTTTGGGGTTCTGTTCAATGAGGAGGTTAGGTCTAAATGTACCTGAGTCCTCTTCTAGCTTGTCATATGACATGCAGGAGAGAGTTAATTCAAGGAGGCATCACTGTCAGTGTCATTAGACATTTTCAGCTGCAGCTTGTTTACTCAACTTGCACAGCAAGTTGCTGACATCCCAAATGCCCGCCATCACCACCACAGCTTTCTCTTGGGTGCAGGTGATTTCAGGGTGGGATCTGTCAACTTTGCCAAGACCATTCTAGAATCTGCAATATTTTTCATGTCCTTTCCTCCTACCCCATGCCCACCTAATTCAAAAAGAGTAATGTTCATTACCCTATGAAGTCACTAGGAAAATGCTCAAGTGCCTTCTAGATAAATTTGACCCCAGTTGAAAGATTAGTCAGATCAATTTAAAGATAATGCCACAGAGTGGAAGTAAATGGGATAAAGTATGTTGGAAGGAGATATGGGGGTGAGAGAGAGAGGAAATGAGATGAGGGAAGAGAAAGTGAAGCCCGAGTTAGAATTTATTGGCACATTTTCACAGTGGCCCCCTCTCCAGCTCTTTGCAAAACCTAGCCCTTTCCAAAAGCCAGAGCCCCGCCACTTTATGGAGTCAACAGCACTTCCTCGGAGCAGGCTGGGGCAGATAAGCGTGCCTCACCTCTCCCTCACCTTCCTGAAAGATAAAGCACTGGCCATCTTTCTCCAGGGCATCTGGCACAGGACCCCACACGGTCATGCTACCTCTGGCCAGGGTGGGTGAAGTAGCAAGAGGTGCTCCCAGGCCCCTGCTGTGAGATGATCTCCCACTGGGTGATGCACCTCATCTGAGCTCCCGGTAACATAGCTCCGCTCCGAGGTATAGTAAGGAGTCTGGCCAGCATGTCCTAACCCCTTGCCTTGGCATTGCTGCCCGGGAAGGGGGTGCTGGCCAGGACATGCTGAGCCTGGGGAGCCCAGGAAGCAGAGCGAGGCCCACCCAGGGCCTTGGGCAGGCAGAGGGCCCTGGCCCCATGCAGACCTCCCCCCCCCCCCCACCGCCCAGCTCCTGGCCAGCACGCTGAGCTGGTGGGGGAGTCATGTGCCATGGCCACTGCCAGGTGGCCGAGAGCCAGGCCGGCGAGGCTGTCATGTCAGGGGAAGGAAGTGGCCAGGCAGAGGGCCAGGAGTGGCTCCCACTCCACCTCCTCCAGGCTGCAGTGCCTTTCCTGTCTCCCTGTCCTCTCAAGGGTGCCTTCCTTACCTCAGCATGGGCAGGCCAGCCTCCCCGCCTCCCCTGAAGCTGGTCTGAGGCCTCCAGGCTTCACTTCCCACGCCCCCTGCACACCACTTGCTCCCTGGGGAGGGTTTCCATAGCACAGGCCAGGCAGAGACACCCGACTGGGGAGAATGCTGGAAAAACAATTTAAGGCTGCAGTTCAAAAGGCTGAACTCATGACCATAACTGGGGGCTAATCAGGGATTCCAGGGGGTTAATCATTTGTCAGTCCTCAGCACCAACTGTGTAAACAGTCAGCTAGCGCTAGCCTCTCTGGGGATATGGCCATCAGGGTCCTGCCTCCTCATGGTGAGCCTGTGGTCATAAAGAACCCCAAGGGCAAAGAAATCTACCTCACCATATTTGTCTCTTACCATATTTGGATGCCTCCAGTGATCAAGGAGAATGTGTCTCCATCCAAAGGGGGCAGCTGACTTCCCCGGTCACACACCCAGACTGTCTGACCCAAAATGCCAACTTCCCAAGTGGCAGGCTGCCACAGGAGGTGAACATTAATTTCCCACAAAAAGCCAAAAGATTGCTGCAGCTAAGTACTGAGTACTCACCAGATAGGAGAAGCTAAAATAGTATGGTTTCCTCCTTGTGGTTACTGCTTTTTTACCTGGAGGGGAAAGCCCAAGTTGAAGGAATAGAAAGGCTCAACCAAGGCAACAGAAAAATCCATTTACAATCCCATTGGCCAGAGCTAGCCTGAGACGCCTTCCAATCTCTTTGGTCAAGAATAGCACAAATGTCCTTGGGGTCAGGCATTTCCTGTCTGTTGGTTAGGCTGGGGCCCCTCAGTTTGGCCAGAGGGCCTCAGCTTGTCACAGCTGTCAAGCCTTCACCACCACCCTACTCCTGCTGCAAAAAAATAAGAATTACTGCAATTCAGAGACAGATTCTAAGTGCCCTCAAAGCAAGATCACCTGAACTTAAAGGAAAAGCACAAAAGCTACAGGTTCTCACACAGGCATGTACTCATCCATGTTCTACACTGAACTGATTAGAATGTCACCTGATGCACAGAGTATCATCCCCTCCATTCATGATTTTTTTTCCTTCACTGTGCTTGGCATTGTACTACCACCACTACCTATTATACATCCTCGACTTTTTTTCTTATCTAGCACTTGGGCAGTCCTCTTTGGCAGCTGGCTCACATGTTCAACATTTGTTATTTCATGGACTCATCAAGTTGGAAATTCCTTAGCTCAAATTGCTTCTACGACAGGGAAGTGAGGCTTAGAAAGGGAAAATGAGCAGGTCAGAAACCAAAAGACAGCTTGCTAGAAGGGTTATGGCCAGAATCTCAGTTTACTGATGGCCTCTCCAATGATCCTTCCATCTCTTTAAAAGAACACACCACTGGGGGCAGCCCCGGTGGCGCAGCGGTTTAGTGCCGCCTGCAGCCCAGGGCATGATCCTGCAGTCCCGGGATCGAGTCCCACGTCAGGCTCTCTGCATGGAGCCTGCTTCTCTCTCTGCCTGTCTCTCTCTCTCTCTCTCTCTCTCTCCATCTCTATGAATAAATAAAATCTTAAAAAAAAAAGAACACACTTTAAAAACAGCCAGCCAGATAAATCCAGGGCATATACTTACTTGCCTTTCTTTCCTCCCATACCATTTGTCAGCATTCTCCAGAGAAACAAAACCAACGGGATGTGCATATAGGAAGATTGGCCCATGTGATTATGGAGACTGACAAGTCCAAAATCTACAGGGTGGGCCAGCAGGTTGGAGATGCAGAAAAGTGGATACTATAGTTCCAATCCAAAGGGCTGTCAGCTGGAGAATTCCTCCTAACTTAGGGAAATCAGTCTTGTTCTATTTAGGCCTTCAACTGATTGGATGTGGCCCACCCATATTATGGAGAGCAATCTGCTTTACTCAAAGTCTACCAATTTCAATATTAATCTCATCCCAAAACTCTGCCACAGAAACACCCAGAAAGTTAGATCAAGTATTTGTGTACCTCTTGGCCCAGCCAAACTGATGCATAAAATTAAGCATTACACACAACAAAAAAGTCTACAATAATCCCATCATAAGTCAAAATTTACTCATTAAAAACGTCTTCTTATATATGAGTAGTTGAATGCGGTACGTACGTATGTACTGAAAAGGACAGCAGGGAAGACTCAAAATTAATCTTAGCCGAAGAGCTTCAAAGACACATATAAGTGTGGAGGCAGACACTCCCATTGCAGAGAGAGATGCAATTTAACAATCTCTTGAGGACAAGAGAGAAAGCAAACTCAGAATGCCCAGAAGGTATATGTGGGATATGGAAATTGTTAACAAACAGCTTCATTCTGGAGAGTTGATGCTGGAAATCCTTGGTAAGGTTGCCAGATGAGGCCAGGTGTCCTCAGGAAGTGTTTTCCCCCAAATGATTCTGTGATCATATTTCCACTGGAATGAACAATCCTCAAGAGAATGCTCACCACAGCAAACGGGAGCGAGGAGTGTTGGGACCAAAGGGTTTGATTCATACATTCAGTCACCCCAATTTCCCACTACAGATTCAACAGGCAAAACTTCTCTTCCAATTCTCTGCCCAAAATAACCGTTTGGCATTGTTGCTGAAGAATGGCTGGTGTTCCAGCCCAGTTCATTTCAGCAGCAGCTAAGTGACACCTCTGCATATAATCTGCCAAGGTGTCTTCCAACAAAGAGAAAGCAGGGATAAAAATGTAGAGACGTCTCCTGATGCTTCCGTTTCCCTGCCTAATTAAATTGTAAACTCTAGAGCTAGACTGTTTCCAGCACAAAGTGAAACATTTATATACACTGAAAACCACCTTTCTAAAAATGACATGCTTGTGTTACTCTTATTTCCTTAAAACTAACATTATCAGCAAAACTCAGATCATAGGAACTATAGGAGGACTACAGGAGACACATCAATAACAATGATAAAAATAGCAAGAATGATAAATCGAAAGGAAGGAAACTGTATGTCAAAAAAACTTGAGATGGATCCACCAACATCAATTTCAGACCTTATTTGAAACCCAATTCAACTAAAGTACAAAAACAAATTATATGACAACTGGAAAATCGTGAATGCTGATTAGGTACCTGACAGTAAGAAACTTGTTCATTTTTTAAGGCATTGGTGTGGGGAATAGATTTCCAACGAGTTCTTATGTCTTTAAGGTATATACATAATGAAATATTTCTAGGTGAAATGATACATCTGGAATTTCCTTCATTTGAAATGAAATGTCTGGAATTCCAGGACAAAGGGGAGTAAGCAGGGAGGTAGATGAAAAAAGATGGCCATTTGCTGAACACTGCTGAAGCTGAGTGGAGAATGTGGTTTTACTATACAACTCTACCTACTTTCCTGTTTGCTAAAAAAGTTACTAATAAAAGGTCTTAAAATAGAAAACATACATTTTTGTTTTGAAACTGAAGGTTGATTATATTCATTTAAATCCTGAACAGACTGTAATAAAAGGTCAGTGACTTCCACAAAAGAATTAGCTTGCTTTTACAAAGTATGCCAAATCAGGACTCATTAAAATGCTCAATAGCAAGTAGAGCCCATGAGAATTGGGGGCAGAGGCAGTGGGGTAGAGACTGAAGGACCTGAACTTTGATGCTTTTGAGACTTTTTTTTTCTTTCTATGAGATAGAAGAATAGCTGTGATATGCAAAATAGAAACAGAAAACTGTTTCCACTTTCATCTACTTTTGTATTTCTGGAGAACTCAAAAAAGGATCTTGCCACACAGCCAGTGCTTATTTATTTCCACCATTAGTTCAGCAACTTTACACCCCAGACTAAGAGGAAGTAAACCTGGTGAGACGTCATGGTCCTGATGAGTCTGTGAGAAGAATGCTTTATCCCCAGGAAAGTCAAACTGACGAAATGATGTGAGTATCCAGCAGATTGAGTACGTCAATAATTGGTCATCCCCAGAATGATCTTGTAAGGGCATGATAAATGTCAGGGTGTGTGTCAGTGAAAAGGAAGCTAATACACTAGTGATTTATGAAAAAGTGATCTCTAAGAGATGAACTCTGGCAGAGACAGAACTACTTTACCAGCCCTGAGAACTTTTAAATTTAGACAGTGTCCTTCTCAGAAATGCCATCCAAATTTATTCACACCACATTGCAAAGGGCACAGGGAGAAGGTATTGTGTTCCCACTTTAGGTTGGAAAAAAGCTCACAGATATCGATTTTAGCAAAGGGTGTACAGAACTTGTCACAGGCCACGGCTTTCATTCAGGAACTGGCACACTTGTCTCCAGAAGACTGTAGGGTCCCAGGCTCATTCACTGTTTGCATACCATGGTTCCCAAGCCGTTCATGAGGCTCAAGCCCTTTGGGTTCCTTCTGTCCCCTTTACCTCCAGCATTTCCTGGAAAGATCAGCAGTCCTACACAAGCTTAGAAACAGAATAATGGTATTTTTCTTTTGCGTGGGTTCTTAGCCTGAGGACCTTCAGAGTCCATGAACTCTCTGAAATCTTATGTAAATGTGTCTGCAGAAACTTTTTTCTGATGAGGAGACACACAGCTATCCCTTGGACTCTGAAAGGATTCGTGGCCCACAAACAAAACGAAAACCCTGCAGTAAACCAGTCCTACAGAGGACGCACGATACGTTCCTATCAGAGTATTTCAGAAATCCTCAGTGGTTTTGGGGAAGAGGGATAAGAAGAGCCCATTGCAGCACGAAATCTTTTGGTGGGTTGGTGGGGAAGAGAAGATACTGACAGTAGATCCAAAATCAGGTGGTAGGCGGAGATAAAAAACACTGGTTAATTTCAAATAAGGGCTAGAGCAGAATGAGGGATGCAGCAAGAGGGCAACCTGCCTGATTGGTTTGCTGGTCTGGTCCAGTACCCTATTTTACAGATGCATCAGGTAACAGAAACTCAGAAAGGTGACGTGAATTACCTATGAAGGTACTAGTTAGGGGCAGACACTAGCTTAAAACACGGACATTACAACTTTTGTTCCAACCCGCTTTCTGTTCATCCCCACGCAGCCTGTTGGCGCTTGGCTGAAACACACTGATGACTTGCGGCCCCCTATCATATTAGCTCACCTGCTTTTCACTTCCTAATCACTTGTGTTACACGGCAGGTGCACTAAGAGGGCCTTAAGTAGCTCTTCAAGCCTCTAACACACAGCCTCTCTGGGATGTAGCTAATTTATACAAGTTTAACCATGGGTTTATGGCTCCCATCAGCTGCTTACTTGGGCAGTGAGTCAAAGCACATTA